CTATTTCGTATTTTCGAGCTTATTAATTGTATCATAATATAGGTAATAATTATTTAATATAATTCCATATTAATATTTATATTATATTAATGCTTATTTTATGTTTAGTATGGATTAATGTCCAAGTAATGTAAAATTTCGAGTCTATATACAAATATTATCGACTTTCATTTAAAAATTTCTCTGATCTTTTCTTGAGTGTCTTATGCTTTTCAGGTCCATATTTAACTGCTTTATCAAGTGTCTCATGAAGTGTCTTATTCATAAAGTCTTTTACAAATTGTAACTTCATGGCGTAGCGAAGTATAAAGCTAAAATTACAAAAAAAATCATTATAAATATTATTATTATAGCTGTAAACTTAAATAAGATAAGAGATAAAAATCTATTAAAATTGTATGTATATATAATATTGTACTTTAATTTGTTATAGTTCTGTATCTTATAAATAAACAGAACTTGATTTAATATTATACTTTGCGATCGCATTATATCAAATTCAAATTCTTCAGAAACTTAAATTTATGTATAATATTCAGAAAATTATACTTTTTATCTCAAAAGATAGATTTTTATAAATTTTTCTAATAAAGTATTAAAAATTCTTTGATTTATGTCACTTTAATTGATGAAATGAAGTTGAGGCTGAAATATTTCATCTTTACTGATTTATAAGAAATAGTCTGGATCATAAAGTTTATATTATCAATAATACAGTTATTCAAGTCATTCAAAATCGTTTTTATTTTACAAATTTATATGAACAGTGCATTTAATAGACGACAATTATGAGCATACCGATAAAAAGCAGAACTTTTAAAGTTTTATTTTAAATCTTTCGTCACATATTCAACAACTTAATTAAACCTTACGATGTTAGAAATCGCTTTAAAATCTTATAGAAAAAAATTAACAAATAGTATTTAAACAATTCGGTCATTTGGTCAGTGCAATTAGTCAACTCTTTCTTTGTCTCTAAAATCTCTAAAATAATTTCTATTATTGTGGACACGAGGCTTGACACAAACACACGTAAACTAAAAAACTTTAAACAGTTATGCTATCCACAAGTATTTCTATAACTCTATATTAAATGTATTGCATTGAAAAAATATATAAAATTTTAGCAAATTATTTATTTAAAACAAAGAATCATTAATTGATTTAACTATCTTTTTTTTTTTTAAGAGGAAATATTTATTTACTGTAAGTAAATGTTTAATTGGAATTACTCTAATAAATATTTATTAAAATTTATAGTATATTTTTTCTCAGTATATATACGCACAAAAAACTCAGGAAAACTTCAATAATCATTTTGAATAACCTTTATAATTGGATTCTTAATTTTTATAAACATCAGAGGATTCTTGTGCATTATACATTTGTGCTCATCTAGCTTGTAATACTTACCGTAGAAGCATAAGCTTAAATCGTTGAAAATAAGTGAGCGTACTTCGTAAACGTGGCATATCGATGTTTAACAAGTCGGTGACGAACAATAGTAACATTTCAAATGTGAAATTACTAAGATAATCATTCATGTAACTCCCACATTCCGTAATGCATCTCAACATATGTTCCCATTCGGGTGTTACTTCACGCAAATAGAATTTTAGCCAAAATTCAACAAAGTCGTGCGCTCTCTGCTTAATTTCTTTCAGACTGCCGCGACAGAAATTGTATCTAAGACATTTATTTCCGTTAAACACAAAATTCCAATGAGACGTAGATGGCAAGTAAGAAAAATATTGGAGGGAAAAAGTTTATTGTGCGAATATGCAGATATATTGTATAAAATTAAGATGTAAAGAGACAGATCAGAAGCAAGAGTTTGCATTGAAAAAATTATATTTTTAGATTGTTTGAACTTTTAGATTAAATTTAGTATTAAAATAAATAGTGTTTAAATTTATTAAGAAAAAAATGTTTTAAAGCTAAAAGAAAAATCGGAAAATTATTGTTATTAGTCAAATATACAATAAATAGTCTTATTATTAATACATCAGGTTTAGTGATCATTAATTTATATATCAGTACTTACTGATCTTCTATACCAAGAAGATATCCTAGACCTTTCCATGTATGACAAAAGGCTTCCATATCTTCATCACTAGCATAAACGCCGAATTGGTTAGGGTACAACAGAACCATCCCCATGAAAGCGAATTGCGTGCTTGCCATATCAGCTTGATTTAGTCCTGTGAATTTGGGCGCCAAATGAAGAAAATCATTTTCTACTATCAATGAAGAAACATCTTCTAAAATTGTTTTTCTGCTTGGGCAGCATAGATTTTGAATTTTAATGGTTTTGTCAAATTCCTCGGTGTCTTGTTTGCAGAGTTTTAATCGTACCGCACGGTGCATTCTACGCACGGTTTGTACGTCGTTATAAGCTCGCGTGCCCTTAATCCATGGATTTTCCATCATCCAAATTCTTTCACGACGACTCGAGGACAAATATCTTAAACAGTAATCAATAATTTATTGACAAATGTTTGATTTGTACTAAAAAGATGCTGGATATAACTAAATCTATTAATTGTTTCTTATTAATTGTTTTAATCATTATTTCATGTATTATTAAAGTCGAGAAATGGGTTTATTTATATTGGGTGTTCACACACTGTAAGTTTTATTTTATCATTACCGTTCATTACATGTAGAAGAAAGATAGAATAATGCTTACAATGTGTGAATACAAAAAACGAACGTGTCCAATATGTGGCTATGTGAATATTCAAAAATGCTTTTTGCTTGTAATTTTAATAAGAATAATCAGTATTAATTACTACAATTTATAACTGTTAATTTTAAATATGAATTATACATGTATAATCAAAGGTAATTATTTAGGAGACTCAACTTCGATGATTTTGACATATGTTGTCAACTGATCTTGACATAAGTTCATAATTCTAAGTAACTTTGCCTTAACAACTAGTGGTGATCTCTTATAGTTTTCAAGATATTTAGAAACGATCAAAGACAATTTTTAAATCGATTCAATATTCTCCTATTAAACCTTGTTTCAATGTTTAAAGATTAGTTTTCAGTTCTTCAGCAAAAGTGCGACCATAAATACAGATATAAAAAATTTTATCATGTCATGTACCTTTTGAACGCTAAATATGGCGTGTGAGATTTTTGGGTGAAGATTAATGTTTTAAGACCATCTGTAGAAGTGAATAACATGAAAAGCGATAATGCGTTAGCGAAAAAAATCGAGAAAATATGATCTCGTGCAAACTTTTGACCTCTCTGGAACTTTTCCATATCTAACCAGAGCGGCTTGTCCGTTGAATTTCCACAATCTCCCCGACGCAATACGGCGGGCATAACAAATAATAAGGAGTCTGGTACATTTGGGACATATGTTTTTATATTATTTAATACATGTTCACATTGTTCTTTATCCGTCCATTTGTCATAATTTTTCGGTTTCGCAGAATTTTGATCGACAACATGCTTCAGATGCTTCATACAATATTCAATGTATTTAACGCCATGCTTTGCCTCTATAAATTCATAGTATTCATTTTTTATTGCATTTTTTGAAAATTCATCTATGCCATCATTACATTGATTTTTTGTTCTTGATACGGTTGCTTTATTCTGAATATTATTATGTGTTTTGCCGTCTGACTTGTCATTATTTACAATTTCCGTTTGTGTTGGTTTTACCCATTCATCTATCATTTCCATTTTTTTACTTTTCTTCAATAATTGTTCTTTAGTATTAATCCGATAGTAATTGTTTCGAAGAAGTTATTCTGTAAATAACATTCATATATAAAACAGAAAAGAAAAAATTAAATGATTATT